CGGGCCTCGGAGGAGAAAAACCCCCCCCCCCAGCCAAACCACATTGACACTGATTTTCCACGGGAAAGGCCAAAGCTCTGCAGCCCCAGGCAGCAGCACACGAGCTCCTCACACCACCAGGCAAGGGGCAGATCCTGCCCCAGTCACCCTTCTTCAGGAAGGGAGTCCCCAGCAAGGCAGGGCATTGCTGTGAGGAGCAGGGAGTAGCTGTGGTGCTGGGGGGTGCAGGGAGCACCCACCTGCCCAGGGTTTGAGTTGCTTTGAGTGTGTGTAAGTCTGGGGGTGTTGTGATGGGAAGGAGGGATGGTGGAAACCCTAAGTCATAGAATCATAGAATCACAGACTGGTTTGGGTTGGAAAGGACCTTAAAGATCACCCAGTGCCACCCCTGCATGGGCAGGGACACCTCCCAGCAGCCCAGGCTGCTCCAAGCACCATCCAACCTGCCCTTCAACACCCCCAGGGATGGGGCAGCCACAGCTTCCCTGGGCAACCTGGGCCAGGCTCTCCCCACCCTCACAGCCCAGAATTTCTCCCTCCCATCTCAGCTCCAGCTCCCTCTGCCAGCTGGAAACCCTTCCCCCTGCTCCCATCCCTCCCTGCCCTTGTCCCAAGCCCCTCCCCAGCTTTCCTGGAGCCCCTTCAGGCACTGGAAGCTGCTCTCAGGTCTCCCTGGAGCCTTCTCCTCTCCAGGCTGAACACCCCAGCTCTCCCAGCCTGTCCCCATAGGAGAGGACCTGAGAGGGGAAGGAGCCCACCAAGAGGAGGGGGGTTCCTGCAGCAGCTCAGAGGCTGGGGCAGGGATTTGAGTCTCACAACAAGCTGCTCCTTTTCCTGGTCCCTGCTGTTTCCCCACCAGGACCCTGAGCAGAACTGCCACCACCTCCCCTGCCCTGGGCTGCTCCAGTGCTGGGTGCTGCTCACGTTTGACTCCAGGTGGGTGGGATGGTGCAAAGGGGAGGTCCAGCCTGGGCTTGGAGAGCTGCTTCAACTGAGGCAGGGATGTCATGGTGGTCTTGGAGAGTGGATGTGTCTGATGGATGCAGACGTGGTGAAACCAGCCTCTGAGGCAGGGATGTTTGTTGTCACTGGAGAGGAAGATGCACCTATTAGGACATTTCATCCTCCCCCAAGCTGAGCATAGATGGGGCTGCCTGCCCTGCCCCAGCAAGGGGCAGCTGGAAGGAGCCCATGGGTCTTCCTGCCATCTGGCAGGTCCCAACTCATGGCCATCTAGCCCCCTTCTTCTTTAGACAAGGGTACCTGGTTCCTGGGGGCTTTGTCCTCTGGATGACCAACAACTGCAGTGCAGGACCCAACCAATCTGTGGGCAAGGGAAGAGTCACCAGAAAAAAACTTTCCCTTTTTAGCAGGTTTAATTTAGAATGACTTATTAGCTGGGAAAACATACTCCCCCTCTCCCCTTGGATAAACAGACATTTTAATACATTGCAGGGAGCAGAGGGGGAAAGGTGGAAGTTTCCATTGACTTTATTTTATTTTTCTAGATTATAAAATATCTAAAATACATAAATAAAATGCTCCATTGCAAAAATGCTGGTGTGTTTTCCCAGGGCAAGGCAGGGAACGGAGCTCAATTGAAATACAACCAGCCAGGCTGATCTCTTAAAGTGAAACCAGTTTCAATGGGATTTAAGTGCCCACGATCTCCCTGCTTGAATATTTATGTTCTCATGGAGTGTGACAAGTTCTTTTTCACCCCCTTTTTTTTCTGGCTATTGCATGATATCATGAATTAGGGTCTTGCAGCCACTGGGGTGGATTTATGGTGCTGCGTAGGTGTCAGGAATAGTGCTGAAGTTTCCTGGTTTTAATGAAATCTGCTCTGTCTGTGGTGCTGCCATGCTGGAGGGTGCTGCAGGAGGCTCTGCCCACAGGGCACAGCTCTGAGCCTCTGCCAGGAGACACTGGTTGGGTCTCTGCCTCCTCCCTGCAAGCCTTGGCTGGGGCCAGAAATAACCAGACCTTGGCTTTTGTGCATCTCTGCCTCCCTCCTGCTGCCCCAACACTGCTTAGCCCTGACTCTCCAGCACCTTGTGGCCTCC